AACAATAGAAATATCGTTCATTTGAAGAAGCTCATTAATATGCAGTGGAAACGTCGCAATCCACATCGGAAGTGATTGCATCCAGAGACAAACGAGGATTCCTCATTATAGGGAAAGCCTATTTTCCCGGGAAAGGGTCCTATTTTTAGAAGAGTCGTATTTGCAGTATCGATTTTTGTGTAGAATTTGGCTAGCCAACGCGATAAAGCAATCTTGGCAGAATATCCACAGTATATTTAACAAAGAAATGATATAGAAATATTTCTGTCTTCATAAATTCAGCTGTTCTTCGGAAGTTGGTAGGACAGGAGATAAGCAGTACGTTTCCCTCGCTCCGCATTGCTGGACGGCTGGAGAGGTTGCACACGAAATAGGTGAGGTTGAATCTTAATGCATGTCGTTCATCTGTCTCGTTTAGTGCAAATGTCCTCTAATTGTTTTTTTTTAACAAATGTTCTCGAATTGTCTTTAGTCTGTGTTGCGATAACGTCTGTTTCATTTTAGCTCATGCACTGGGATTTTATCACGAGCAATCACGACCTGATCGTGACGAATACGTCACCATTAACTGGAACAACATCGTTGAAGGTAAGTGTGACTCTGAAGTTAAATAAATCGGTTGTGGAGGGATCCCGGTCTATCTATGTGCTATTGCTGTGGCGACAAAGTGATGGTTTAGAAAAATGGTATGCAGCAGCTTAAGACTGCGCTTTACGGTCGAAATTAATTCGCTAATGGCTTGTAGGGAGCTGATGCACCTTGAATTTTATGTGTCCTACCACATGCATCTCATTCGACTCAGAAGAATGACTCAATTATTCACGTCCCCCTTTGGGTTAAGACTCTCCGTCGCAAATTTCTATCCGTAGGACTTACGTACTCCAAGCTGTTTATTTGTCTTTGTCTTTGTCTTTCCTTCTTTTTCATATATTTGTCGATTTAACTTGCAGCCGAAAAGGTGAACTTTGCAAAGTATGGGCCATCGAGAATAAATACCCTTGGCGTCCCCTACGATTACAGAAGTTTAATGCATCTCGACGATAAAGCCTTCAGTAAAAATGGCGAGCCCACGATAGTACCCAAGCAAGCTGGGGTGAGTACATACCATGATAGAACATAGTATCTTCAAACACAGGACTTTTTACAGTTCAGAAACAGCTCATTTTTGAGTTAAATAAATCGGTGGTGGAGGAAGTTGAGTGCAAAAAAGTAGAATGCCAACTTGAAACATTAAAATGCTAAGCATTGTCCATAAAATACATATATAACGGAAAATATTATGTAAGATCAAAATTTTATTTTCCTAGATACAAATTGGTCAACGGGAAAGTCCGAGTGCTTTGGATATCAAGCAAATGAATCTGCTGTATAAATGCAGTGGTG